AACATGTAATTCAAAAACAACTGAAGGATCACATATTTATTATACCTATACTAACAAAATTATCATTAAAAGCTAATCGTGAAAATAACATATAAGAGAATAAACATTTCTTTTGGGACAACAATAGTTCAACTTAAAGACTTTGAGCTTATCAGCTACAAAGCTGACAGCTCTGGTTTGAGATCTGAGCACTGCACGGCAGGGTGAGATCCAATTACTCGCCCCAGCTTCTGCCAGCTTAGCAGTTAGAAAGCATGCAAATGTATAGGTACCATTTTGGTGGGAAGCTAAGTCATGCTGTCTACATAACCATGGAAGTGTCTTCGAACATCACTAGCTCCCTCAGCTAAGAAACAAAGATAAGCATCACTTCCTGGAGTTAAATATGACTGGACAGGGAAAACCTTTACTTTATATTTCTTTTAATTTCTAAGTATATTATGCATTGTAATTGTAAACTTTCCAGTATGGGGAATTGGCTATTATGAAAAAATTTAAATCTTTATTCAGACATGTCAAACTTGCGATGTCACATGATGTGGTGCAACATATCAGGACGGCAATGAAGTGGGCACGGCTTCCGGATGATGCGTCTGGCCCATGGGCCGGCAGTTTGACACCCCTGAGCTAGATCATTCTGTAAGGTGAAGATATGGGAAACAGTCTGTTGACCTACAGTTTAGTCTCTCAGATAGAGATGCTAGCTTACATATAGTACATATATGGATTAAAATTGATTGCATTTGTGGCATGCTAGCCAAAATGTTTAAAAGTGGACTGGTACATTCCTTATCATTATTAGGGAATTCTGCAGAGGATGACTAAAGCTGAACCTTCCCTAACTTAGTAAAGTCTTATTGGCCAAATCCTTGATAGGTGGTGAAGATTATGGTCTGCAAGTCAGTGTATGAAAAATTGCAATTTGAAGTGTAAGATTAATACATTATAAAAAGTATGAATTAATGACACCATATAACCACAATTTGCAATCTAGTGTCAGCTTCATATTGACTTCCTTTGTTGGAAGCCAACTGTGAAGGTGACAAAGAATGATCATACAGTATAACATGGGATGCTATGACCATTGTAAATGGATAATGATTATCAAGTGCCCAAATTGTGATCATGTGACTATGGGAACATTGCAATGGCCAGAATTTTGAATATTAGTTGTAATTCTACTTTTTCGGGATCATTGTAAATTTGAATAGAAGCTGAACAAAGCAGTAATTAACTTAGAACTTCCTCTAGTCAATCGGTGACATAAATGAATGGGAATGAGATGATATTACCAAACAAGTGACTGGACCATTCAGACATTCAAGAATAAATGAAAACATGACTGGTATTTAGAAATAAATCTGTTTCATATAAACAATGAAAAATAAGATTATTCTTATTTACACTTGGTAGAAAAATGCATATAAATCTAAATGCATGATAAATTTACTTGTTTGAGAGGAATATTGAATATTTGAGAGAAATATTGAATAAATATTCTCAGTGTAGGAATGCCAATTGTTGCTCATTTAAAGATTGGATCTTGGGAAAAAGTGGAAGAAAAGGAAAAAGGAAACATAAGCTAGGGTAAAAGTATAGCAATTATAAGAAAAGAAGTATGAGTGTGGTACGAAAAGTAATATGACTGGAAAGTGAACATAAAATACTTGTGCAACTTGGAACAGAGTAAATACAACTATGGTTGCAGAGTGCTGCAAAATATGATGAATTATGCTAATGGAAGCTTGATAAAAAGAATTCTTAATAATAAAATAGGTGACAAATGAGCAAAAAGTGAACTTTTGTACTCAAAGGAAGCTGTATTTGGATTGACTCTCAATATTAGAAGCCAATGCCAAATAGATTGTATGATACAATGAGGAATCAAGACCAAGATAATTCTATTTGATAAGAAAAACAGATTGAAAAGTTGTGAATTGTATATAAATGGCAAAAAGTGGAGCAAATAAATGAATGTATATATTTTAACAGAATGTCTATTAAAAGTGGAAAAATAGAATGAGAAGTGTTAAGATGTATAAATGCTCATAGAAAGGTAGTAGTTAATATCTATCCTTTTATGAGAATGACTGTCAGTTGAAAATGGCTACATATAAGAGTGGACTTCAGGCCACTTAAATAAATGGAAGTGAGCATTAAATATATTAGGAGGAACATAGAAGTACATTGAATGAAAGTATGTACAGTAAAAAAGGGGATAAGGTCAAGCATAAACAAGTGCTGAGTGAATGTTAATTGAAAACAAACATGAGCAACCAGTACAAAAAAAAGTTTGTTGAGCTTGTTGAAATAATAAATGAAGATTGCAAAACAACTATATCAAGTAACAGTTAACAAGTTGTAAGGAAAGGGAAAATGAAGAATGTTGTGGTTGGACGGAGTTAAAGGATCTTTGAAAAGAAAGGTGAGAATTTACAAAAGAAAAGAAAGTATATTAAACAATGTATGGATGTAATGGTCAAAGCTAATTGCAACAGCAGAAAGATATAGTTAATGGCATAGGTGAAAAGTAATTTTAGCTATTCTTTCATTATCTAATGTCTTAAGTTTCTTTGGTTTACTATTACTCTATTTCTGTGCTTTGCATATCATTGCTTACCCTGAAAGGAATAATATGATGGATGTGTATGTGTATATGTTGCACATGGACATTTCATTTAGTTATATATTTGCCTGCAAAGCTTTGATCTCTAGCCAACACATTTGGATAAAGATTAAAGCCAAAGCGGTAGGGTCTGTATTGCCTGAGTAAGAAAAATGGTGGCACATTTAGTGAATAAATAATTCAAGAGAAAATTACTAACAGTATCCAGATCTGTTCCACTCCCCATCCAATTCTTTTTAAATGTGTTACAATTACAAAAATATAATTTTATTACATAAGATTATTATCATTCAGTGGTTAATTCAGTATTAATTTATGTGGTTTCAAATATTTACATAGCATATTTTTAATGGATTATTAATCTTGCTTAATTATTATATCCAATACAAGTGAATTAAATTCTTTTGTCTGACACTTGGTCCTTTAGAATAAGTAAGAATGCTTCCCAAATGTGCCTGAATGCTGGAAGCAATTTTCAATAATCCTAAGTGACTGTTTCGTTAGCAGAGAGGACTGAAATTAATAAGAAATTGGCTTCTGAACTAACATGCTAGATAATGAGTTGGGTGTTAGATGATGGCATTAAATGTAGGCAGCCTTTTCTGCAATATATTTGGTTTAATCTCATGGTTCTTATGTCTAATGAACCTTGAATAATATGCTTCATTTACTGTGCAATTTTATTTATGCTTGCTTAGACGTAATCCATACTTTCAGTGGGATTTACTCTCAGGATTGAAACCATGCAGATAGTCAATGCCTTTTTATTTATTTTTTGCATCTTTCTGCTATCTTTCATCTTTTCATTATAGAACAGGATTTATAAACTCTATTTGTTGTTATGTACTATCCCATATAGACAAATTATTATGATTTAAGAGATGTTTCCTGCAAATATCCCATTGAAGAAAGTATTCTATGTGATTTGAGTATTATTTATTTCCTACTGAAATATGAATTTCAGATGATTCAAACAGAGCATTATTATTCAAAAATATATTTCCAAGCACATCACTGATAAGTTTCACAAAGTTTGAGAATATGACAATTCTTTTGCAATTGTGCTGAAGCTTGCATAATACTTATGCTTGGAAACTGATATCAGCAGTCTTTGGAGAGATTTTAGTGCTGATATCAGCCTTGGATCACTTATATTTATTTCTGGTCCAGCTTGTCAAGTGGCAGATACAACAGGTTTTTATTTTTTCATGTGAACTGATTTAGCATCATGCTGAATATTCAGAATGACTGATGAAGGATGGGGAGGACAGGTAGTATAGTTTTCTGGGCTGGTTTCTATACTTTGTACTAACTTCCAATGAAAAAAATATCATAGAGTCCCAAGTAGGAAGGAGCCAAAAATGTAATCTCACCTCTTGTCCAATTTGGTTCTCTGTAGTCAACTGAGATATTCTGGATTGGCTAATATTAAAAGGATTAGCGATTATAAGTCCATAGTGCAATAGGTTTGATAATCCAAAGAATATGAAATAAATGAAAAGTGCAAATAGCAATAGCAGTAGCACTTAAACTTATATACCGCTTCACAGTGCTTTATATCCCTCTCTAAGCAGTTTACAGAGTCAGCATGTTGCCCCCAACAATCTGGGTCCTCATTTTACCGACCTCAAAAGGATGGAAGGCTGAGTCAACCTTAAGCCAGTGAGACTTGAACTGCTGGCAATGGGCAGTCAGCAGAATTAGCTTGCAATATTGCATTCTAACCACTGCGCCACCACAGCTCTTCTTAATCTTAAGTATATTGTTTTTTGTAGAGATATCTTCCCCATTTCCCAGAAGATAAACAATTCTGGAATGAAGAAATAGACATTCTGTTTCAGATACAATAGACGCATAGAAGATAATGTATGCTTAATCTTTCTTGATCCTTCTTCATTCGTATCCTAAAATACCTGCAAACATAGATGATTTTTTTCCCCTGCAAATATCCAGCCAGAGAAGGAATATTATGTAACTTTGATGGTTGCTTCTGGAATCTTGAAATGTGAATCAGATAATGCATGCATTTCTTTGCCTAAACTGATATTACTGTATTGTTTATCTAAGCAAAGATATCATCTTAACAGCTAGTGCACGCATACTGAGACTTACCCTTCATAATAGAGTGGTTTATTTAAATTGCTTCAGCTTTTTTCAACTATTTTAAGTTATTGAAACGGTTAAACAGCTAGTTTAGCAAATGTATATAATTGCCCATATCATTGAATATGAAGCTATGAAGTTCTAAAGAAGTTTCATAGTTAAATGTTGTAAGAAGTGTTGTTTGATTTGTAGCTTACAGAAAAAAACATTTTGGGAGTGACACAGGTATGATATATCAGTTTTATCATCCTGATATTTTTTTTTTTTTTAGGGTGGTGAGCCAGTTAGGCCAGGCGTAGCTATGACTGACCTTGCTACAGGTTTATATGCATATGGAGCAATTATGGCTGCACTTCTCCAACGACATAAAACAGGGAAAGGAATGCATTTGGATTGCAATCTGCTTTCATCTCAGGTAAAGATTTACTCAGTGATTGAATAATAATAAACATATTTTGAATGGTTTTTGTCACATATTAACTTCACTCCATCTTAAAGGTTATTTTATGTATAGGTAGTCTTTAAGACCATTTGTTCAACAAATGTGCAAAGTTACAACAATGCTGAAAAAAGTGATTTATGATGGATCCTCACACTTATGATTGTCACTGCATTTGCACAATCACATGATCAAAATTTCCGGCTTGGCAACTGGCATGTATTTATGATAGTTGCAACATTCTGAACTCACCATTTGTGACCTTTCCAGGGGACTTCTGATTAAGCAAGATTGATGGGGGAAGCTTAATGACCATGTGATTCATTTAATTGGTGATACACTTTATGACCATGGCAAAAAAGGTTGTAAGATTGAACACAATTTGTTTGATGACTATATTGTTTAGTGGTAGAAGCTTTGGTCCTAGTTGTGATCATACATTGAGGATTACCTGATTTCTTCAGTCCAAAGAAGAACGCTGCCTCCATAGGAATGAAGACTTTATGGGATTAACATCTCTAAATGTTTATAATATTATCCAAATGATCATATATGAGAATTTGTCTCCTAATGATTGTCAGTCTGCTTGTCATAATAACAGTATTTAGATATCTTCGATTGTGGTAAGAAGTCTGAATTGAACCTCAAAAGAGCCATTTCGATTCAGGAAGATTGAAAATAGTAGGACAGTGAACTGGGCCTTGTGAAATCTTTGTAGGAAAGTTTGGCACATATTCCCCTCTATTCAGCTACCTATATATATTTTACTTTTATGATTCATAATAAAAGTCTGAAAAGAGCTGGCTTAATCCTAGGCTTTAAGTTTTTTGAGTTTTGAGTTTTCTGAGTCCAGTGAACTTTTCCTCAAGAATCTAGCAAGGGCCTTCATTTTTGAATGCTATATATAATTGTATAACTGTTCTCCCCCCCCGCCCCAAATTCCTATATTTTAAAGATGTCGAATCCAATTTCATACTTTTTTTAAATCTATAGGACAGGGGTGTCAAACTGCCGGCCTACGGGCCGGTTTCATCATACCGGAGCCATGCCCACCCCATTGCCGGCAATGGCGAAAAAGCTCTGATACATTGCGCGACGTCACGTGACTTCACGAGTTTGACATGTCTGCTATAGGAGTAGATAACACCGTGGTCATAGACCTATAAACTTATATTCCAAAATGAAAATTAAAGTAACTTTTTAAAAATCTAATTTGGGATATAAGAAGAGAAGGTGAATCACCAAAATATTGCCACATGTTTTGATTTTGTGAAGTTAAAGGTAATCTATAAGGAGCATTTTGAATTAAACATGTTAATTTGTAAGTTAAGATTTTTTTAAAAAAATATTGAAATAAAACAAGTAAAAACAAGGCTTTGCTCTCTAATATGTTCTGAGTTATGCATCTGAAGCTACAATAAAATATGAATTTAATATTTTATATGTTAGAAGCCAGTATACATTTGATTGACAACATAGATGTATAAAATTTCCAGCATTTTTAATTTATCTCAGCACACCCTATTGGATGCTTTCAAAAAGAAAAGCTACACTGCATGATATTCATAACAGGTTCACAATCTGCATAGTTTCATTTTATCTTAGCATAAAATATGAATCTAAGTTCTGTAGTCTCTGCTTAAACATTATATATGAAACAGCGACACTAACACCAGTAAAACAGTCTATAATTTTGCACAATACGCAAATATTACCTGTTTCTCTTAATATTAAAATAAAAACCAAATAAAGTATTCTAGAAGCAGAATCCAAAATATTGCAGACAATTCAGACTCCTGTTATTAAGGGTTTAAAAGCTCTGTTTCAGATATTAGTCAGCTTTTCATGAATCAACTAAGCTCAGACATCCTTGGATTGTTTGATTCCTTCTATCCCTTGTTATTTTCCCAATACTGCTGCTATTTTTAGAGAGCTAAAGTATGTGCTAATATAATTTCAATTTTGGTAGTTTGTTTAAAAATATCAGTCCATGAAACCTGAACTCTCTGACTTTGGTAAAGAGAATAGTAAGTAGTCAGCAAGAGTCACTACCTAGAAGCAGTGTCTTATTTGCAAGAAAATGAAATAAAAATCTCTCTTAAACATGTATCCTAAATTAAAGGATGTTGGAATACAGCATGAACTTACATCCAATTGTTCTTTGTCTATGAACTTTTTACCCTTGATACAAAATGTCTTTGAACTTTTTCCTCACTTACATGATTTATAATTGTCAATTCCAGTCTTTTTAGCTTCAACATATAAACAATAGTTTTAGATGATAATAAATAAAAAGAAATGGTTTCTGGATGTGTTTCCATTTATGAAACTGATCTGCATCTTCTATTGTGGCTTGAAAATATTTCTTGAAAGTTTTTAATATCATTCCTGCCTCTAATTGCAGCCAGTTAAGAGCAAACAAACAAGAGACTCAGGTCATTTCAAATTCTGCAAGCTGACTTAAGCAAGAAACTTTACTCTTCAGCAATTTTTATTGCACATTTTTTCTCTTTTTGCAAAAAAAAAAAAAGATTTTTGCTTTGATCAAGAGATTTACATGAGTAATCTTGGTTTCTTATTCTGCTGCTGCTCTGCTGGGGAAACTACTTAAGAACTTCAGTTTTACTATGTAATATGGAACACTGTTCTAAATATAATCAGATATACACATACCTTCCTGAATACACATTTGCATTTTGTGTGTCCAAAGAAAATCTTGGTTTGTGTGCTGTGGTCAGAATTCTTTATATTCTATGTTTTCTGATTTGGTTATTCAGTTTAACATTTATAGTATCCAGCATTTCAAACAAAGTGGCAACTCTGACAAAGGGTTTATAAAACTCTTTATTTGCAAACATCATGGCTGCAGTCTTAAAGCTAGTGGTATAAATACAGTCAAGGTGGAGCGGAAGCCACCTAGAAGTCTGAAGACCCAGGGGGCCTTAGCCAAGCTTTTAAACTTGTAAAAAAAAACTTGAATGTATCTTGCTGCAGGGCTAATACATACCCATAAAGAAACAAAGACAATTGCATAAGACAACTTAATAGTAAGTGTGGCGCAATCAGCAGAGACAGGCTGTCAGTGTCCTCACTATGACTATATGGCAGCAGAGTTGCAGAAAAATGCCTTATTGTTGGTACTTTGTCAACTAATCCTGGAAGTCTAATATTATACAAATCCTCTTTGTTGAGTCCTCGGCTTAATGGCGAATGAGCACAGAACATCTCATAGTTTCAAGAAGTCTTTATTGTAGTCTCTTCTGCTCCGTTACAGCTCTGACGCTCGCAGGCCTTTCTGCTTCCCTTAATAATGTTCCCCGGACAGAATGGCAACAATTAGGCGCACTCCATGCCTTGCGCATGCGTGCGAAGCCGGCACCAGCCAGTCTGGTCCCGGGCAGCTTGCAACTGCCCGGGACCATTGCAACGTCCCGAGCCTGCCTTTGCAGGCTCCGGACACAACACCCCTTCCTCCCCGGCTAAGACTAATAAACTATATTGATAGTTACACGTGACCTCAACACGAGCGTGGTGTGCCAACCCATGCTCCAAATGGTACCGGGCTATTATTCTGGGATTAATACCCAATGCCCGTATTTCCAATTTTCACAACAGCAGACACCCTCTCACTGTTTCTGCTTTGCCAGAAGAGTTACAAAGTCCTCAAGATACTTAGGAGATCTCTTTACTCTCTGTGACCTCCTTAGAATCTGAGAATCCCCAATTTCTTTTTGCACAGGGATGACATGAAGTTGCCCCCTCTTTCAGACCCTGGTGGTCCCCGTGGACCGTGCCCCATTGTGTGGTCTGTTTGCTTGCCCACCGGGCTCGTCAGACCAGGACTTTGTTCTCCCAATGACCTGGTTGACCTGCCTAGTTGCAGGCTCTCTGGCCCCTCTATAAGATTGCCACTGTTAGGCATCTCCGTAGATTGGCCCACACTGGACCTATCCAGGGACTGCATCCCCTCACTCCCCAGCCCCATAACGGGACTGTCTGGGCTTTCAGTATTTCCCCAAAACTCAGTTGCCCCCCCATCTGTGCCGGAAGTGCCAGAATTGGGATTTGCCTCTTCGACCACCTCCCTGTGTGAATGCCTCCTTCTGGAAACAGTAGCAGTACTGGGCCAACTAGACTGTTTGTGTGCTAGCTCTCTTGCAATGTTTGGGTTATTAGGATGCTCCCGGTTATTCTCCCTGACTGGAGTGCTGAATGGTATTGGTGAATGATGAGTATACCCCCTGTGTGACTCCCTGGCTGGAGTAGGCACTGGTGCCTGTGTGCTTTCTTATTCCCATGGATTCCTGTTTGGAACACTTGCGGAACCTTGGAATAGGCCATCTGTGGCCTCTCTGTTGGGCCCTGGCTGCTGCCAACACCCATCCCTTTGCCCATAATGGTCCCCCTCCCCCCCTGGAAAAGGCCCAGGAGTTTCCGAGGATAAGTCCAGTCTTGTACGCAGCTGGTCGATATGCTGCCGAAGGACACGACCATCATCCAATGAGACCTCGTATGACAAAGGGCCAGTAACCTTGCATACGACAGCAGGAACCCACAAATGACCAGGCCCGTAGTTACGGGTCCATACCGGGGCACCCACTTGCAGATACCTCAGTGCCATGGGTTGTGTAGCCTTAGAAGGCAGTCTGTCTGGGTGCAACCTATCAAGTCAATCTGCGCCCCCCAATGAAGTTCAGCTGGGCTTTTCCCAGTAGAAGTTGAAGGTGTGGTGCGATACGCAAGAAGAAAGTCTGCCAACCTGTGGTGCCAGTCACGATAGGTCAGTTTCTTTAAAGCATCCTTGGTGATGCGGACCATCCGTTCAGCCATACTGTTGGTGGAAGGGTGGAATGGTGCAGAGGTGGCATGACGAATCATGTTGGTCTGTAAGAAAGCTTGAAATTCGGAAGAGGTGAATTGAGGGCCATTGTCAGACACCAAAACATCTGGAAGCCCATGTGCAGCAAAAATCCCCC